CCCACCACACCCCCCACGTACGAGGACCGAATCCAGGGGCGCTTAACCACCCAGCCACACGCCGGCCCTTTACTTTTATTTGGGGCTGAGCTGCTGAGGCTGGCCTCCAGCTGGCCCCTGCCTCCTTCGGCCTCGCCTCCAGGAGCCGGACCAGCGACGCCTCTGGGCCAGCTTAAGGCGACGGTGCCATCCGCCCGCAGGTCGGGCCCTGGGTGGGGTCCTAGACCCCGGTCCTACGCGGCCCACCACACACGGGGGTCCCCGCCCGCCTGCCTCCCGCCGCTTCTGCGTCGCCGCTCACCTGCCCCACGCCTCCACACCCGGAAGTCCCTGCGCCGGCCGCGACGCCGGGAAGGGGCAGAGAGGCTGGAGGCAGCTGCACAGTACCGAGCAGGCCACGCCCGCCGCGGCCTTCTGCCGAGAGGGACCCCGGACCCAAGATGGCAGACCCCTCCCGCCCCTCAAGGCCTTATCCTTCCGCTTGTCCGGGACGGTCTGCGACGCCGTGCTAACCGCGAACGTTCTCGGAGGCCAGTGCCTGTCCGAGGCCGACCGGGCGCCGGCGGCATCTTGCGCGTCCGGCCGGGGAGGAAGAAAGATGGCGGCTCCCTAGTGACGCCAAGGGAGCGGCCATCGTGGAGGACGGCGGGTCCGTACACAAGGCACGCTAGCGCCCGCGACCCGGAAGAGATACCGGGTCGGCGCGCGAGTCGCACAGAAGGGCGTGCGCAGCGGGCAAGGAGGGCATCCTGGGTTGTGACGCAGGCGTACGTGGAGCGCGAGGAACCAGGATTGGGTGCAAGGCGAAGCCGGGAATGGGCGGGGGCCTGTGAATCGCTGGCTCCTGCTCCGGGCTGTGCAGCTGCCTCCAGCGGGGAAGGGGCTGAGGGTCAGGAGCTGCAGATTGTCGGTCCTTCCGGAAGCAAGCCGAGATGGCGGCGGGCTCTGGGCTCGGGCAGTCAGGAGGCCTCCGTCCTAACGCCTTGCGTCGGTACCAAGGTTCTGCCTTTGTTTCTAAGCCCACTTAACCTTCGGCGGGCGCCGGCCCTTCCTAGCGGATCGCGAGGCGGAGGCTGGAGGAGCACAAGGTCAAATCCAGCCTCAGCAACTTAGGAGACTGGGGATGTGGCTGAGGGGAGGAGCAGTAGGGTTCGATTCCCAGTGCCCAGGGACACAAATAAGGACACAAAAAAGCCTGTATCACAGTTGTCAGTATAAAATTTAACTGTATTTTCAGAATACCAGAAAAAAAAAAAAGGCAACCTGCAGATAGTGTGTGTCATCTCGCTGGCAGCAATCAGGTTTGGTGTTTTTTTTTTAAATTGCGATTGGTTTAATAGCATGAGGATTTGTACTAGAGGTAGAGAATAATTGTTTACTTAGAAAAAAACTTTTGCGATTCTCAAGTTAACATATGTAATCATTAATTATTTTATCATAAACATTTTGGCTTTAGAAAAATAGTTTTAGATGATTGATACAGAAGTTCACCACACAGTAATATAAGATTCGTCTCATTTCCCTTTATAAGGTACACTGTCATGCATTTGAACATTTGGGGAGAATATATTGTTATTGATTCCTAGGTACAGTTATGGTGATTTGAGATTTTTTTATTTTGCTCAGATGCATTTTCTAACTTCTGTACAGGAATTTATTTTTTGTAACTGGGCCACTGTAATACTGAGCAACATCTCCAGCCCTTTTAAGTTTTATCCTGAAACAGGGTTTCACTAAGTTGCCAGGGCTGGCCATGAACTTGAAGTCCACCTGCCTCAGCCTCCTGAATTGTTGAGATTGGAGGCATATGCCACCACATCTAGCTTGTTTGATTTCTTAGCGTTATTATGTTCCCTCCAGGAAAATTTCTTTTAGAAATACAGTGTCCTGGGCTGGGGATATAGCTCAGATGGTAGAGTACTTGCCTCACATGCATATGGCCCTGAGTTTGATCTCCACCAACATTAAAAAAAAAAAAAGAAATGCAGTATCCTAGAAAAAACAGAAACAACCCTGTAGAGTTCTAGACTTACAAATATATCTCCTTTCCATACACTGAAGTCCTGACTCCAATTCCATCTGCCCAGAAAACTCTTCCCTGAAAACTTACTAAAATACACCTTTGAGTACAATCAATGAATGCACCAGACTTTATATTTCTTCCTAGTTTTTATCAACTGAATTGTGGGGGCTTTTGTTTGTTTTCTGGTGGTGCTGGGGGATGGAACCCACAGCCTTGTGCATGTGAGGCAGGCACTCTACCAACTGTGCTGTATCCCCAGCCCCCAGATTAATTGCTTTGTGTGGATTCCGTCTCCTCATAATCCATCAAGGCCATCACTTCACCTGCTTGGTTCTTTGATGTGTTCCCAGTGTTGACAACAAGGCCTGCAGCATACAGAAGCCAACCACAATGAAACTCAGGGGAGGATCCACTCAGCGTGGAGTTGGGGACCAAATTCTACATGGCAGAGATGATTAGAGGACTCAGCATTTATAAGCTGGATTAAATAAACTTAATGATATCAAGGGAGATAACTGGAGAGAGAAAACAAGATCCTTGTTCCTGGGAAATCTAGAATTTTTTCAAGCAGACTTATTCAAATTGATGTTCTGGAAAAGAGGAAATAATGGAAGGAAATGTATCATTGGGAATGAAATAAAAGCAACAAAAGAGGCAAATATCAAATATGGTAGGCTATGTCTTTGAATTTTAAAAATTGGGTTGAAACAAAAAAATTATTGTCTCATATGGTTTCTAGTAGATGTCAAGGTGTTGACAGACATTTGCATCATGGAAATGTAATTTAAGACCATGATTATATTCCACCACACACCCAATAAGGCGAACTCAGTGACAGTTCCAAGTGCTAGAAAGGACATGGGACAATGGAGTGCTCACACTTCATTAGTAGGGATGTACACACTGTGGAAAGTAGCTTGACAGTTTCTTATAAATACACACTTATGAACCAACGGTTGTGTTCTTCAGTGTTTATCGCAGAGACCTAAAAACTTAATGTTCACACAAAATTAGATACGTAGCTGTTCACAGCTTCTGAATTCATGACAGCAAAACAGTGGAAACTCAAATGTCTGTCAACAGTGGAGAAACAACATGGTTCAGCCATACAAAATCCTACTAACACAACGCACTCAACAACTTAGATGGATCTTAAAAGGCAATTTACTGAGTGAATGAAGGTTATAGTATGGTATGATTCTAATTTAATAGCATTTGTGAAATGACAAAGTTATGGAGGGAGGTTAAGTGATCGGTGGTTGCTATGGCTTTGGGTTGGGGGATGTGACATTTCCTAGTGTTGGCACAACAGTTTGGCATCCTAATTGTGGTGAACTTTTTACATGTGGATATGTAAACAAAATTTTGTATATGTATACAACATTCTTCAGAACTCTACACACCAAACCACACCATTTTAACATATGCAAAAACTAGTAAGGTCCTGCCAGCTTTGTGGCACACGCCTGAAATCCCAGCAGCTCAAGAGGCTGAGGCAGGAAGAATTAGAGTTCAAAGCCAGCCTCAGCAAATATGAGGCATTTGCTCTTATAGCAACTCAGTGAGACCCTGTCTCTAAATACAAAATAGGGCTGGGGATGTGGCTCAGTGATCAAGTGACCCTGAGTTCAATCACTGGTACGAAAAACAATAACTAGTAAAGTCCAAATAAGGTCTATAACTTATAGGCCTGGGATGTGGCTCAGTGATAAAATGCATGCTTAGTATGCACAAGGCCCTGAGTTTAATCTCTAGCACCAAAAAAACAAAAGCAATTATACTAATGTCATTTGAATTGGTTTTGTGTATTCTGGTTAAGATAATTGTCACTAAAGAGGCTGCATAAAGGCTACCCAGGAACATACATTTTGTAATTTCTTATGAATCTAAAATTCTTTCAAAACATTTTTTAGTAAAATCATATTTTGTAAATTACTTGATGCTACTTTAAACTTAAATATGAATTTACAGAATTAATATATTCCTTTTAAAATACATCAATAGAGCCTAAAATATGCTTGAGTTAATTATATGGTACAAGATGAGCACGTAACACTCTTGTATATATGCATTAAAATTAGTGATTAAAACACCTCACTTTAAAATTATGGGTAGTTGATATTACTCAGGTTATCCTGTCTCAAAATGGACATCAAGTATGATGACTTTAGACTCATGATAGCCCTCCAATAGACATCATTTTCATGAGACTTCTTTACTACATTGATTTTCTGAATTTGCTAAAGCATTCTCTATTGCAAGGCATGGTGGTGCACGCCTGTAACCCCAATGACTCCCAAGGCTAAGGCAGGAGGATTACAATGTCAGTCTCAGCAACTTAGTATGACCCTGTCTCAAAAAAATAAAAAGGGCTGGGGATATAGTTAGTGATAAAGTGCCCCTGGGTTAAATCCCCAGAATCCACTCTGCAAAAAGTCATTCTACATTTAATGTGTTCTTAAGTTTTATTTCTGGGTGCATTAATGACAGATAATAAGAAGCAGAACATATTACTGAAATCAGCCCTATTCATTGCCATTTGAAATTCTTTCTTGTCCACAGTAAGATACCTGACAACTATTAAGGTTTTATTTCCAGGTAATGGCTTTCCTATGATCATTATGTTGCTACTATGTAGGAGTTCATTGATGGTCTCTTTTGATCACTAATGAGTTAAGAGTTTTTATTTTCTCCTGGAAGGCCTTTCTAGTCTCCCTGTTTATATTTGTCTAATTATACACTTTTTTTAAGACTTTTCTGCCTTAAATGTTATCAGAGTATTTTTCTGTTTATTTCCACATACTATGTGAGTTAATTACTTAAGGCACTAGTACATTCTCTGTATTCATTAAATTTTCACCCCTATGCAAATTCCACAATCTCCCATTGGTGAAAATCTATGAACAAGTTGCTCTATGCTAAATAATCATATGTGTTAGAAGCACAGTGATGTTTAATGAGTTCCAAGTACTAACACAGTTTGCCCCTACATGAGTTTGCTTATATGTAATAAGTTGAGATTCTGTGCAAAGAATTGCTACTGTCATATTTTTGATGAAGCCTGACAGGACAGCAAGGTCCCTTAATAACTGAATGAGTAAAGTCTCTTCTCCCTTGTATGAATTCTTTGATGTACACTAGGTGCATCATATCATTTAAAGACTGATTCATGTTGAGGGCATTCCCATACTGAGTTAATATGGTCCATCTCCTGTGTAAATTCCTTCATGGATGAGATGGAAGGTGTGTAAAACTTATCCACCCTCATTCTACACAAACAAGTCTGCCCTATGTGAAATCTTGGAATGTTACACAAGACTTTTTCTACCTGAAGGCATTACCATGTTCATTATATTATTCGGGTTTGTTTCCATTATGTATTCGCTGATGTACAATGAGATTTCTCTTTGAAGAGAAGCCTTTCCCACATTCACTGCATACAAAGGGTTTCTCTCCAGTATGAGTTCGCTGGTGAACGACTAAGCGACTTTTCACAGTGAAGCCTTTACCACATTCATTACATGCATATGGTTTCTCTCCAGTATGAACTTGCTTGTGTAAACTGAGCTCGGTCTCCATGGAAAAGCCTTTTCCACATTCATTACATATGTAGGATTTCTCAGCTGTATGAGTTTGGTGATGTACAACAAGATAGCGTTTCATGGTGAAGCCTTTTCCACATTCAGTGCATGTAAACGGTTTCTCACCAGTATGAGTCCGATGATGTACCACAAGATTGCTCTTGAAGGCAAAACTTTTTCCACATTGACTGCATATGTAGGGTTTCTCTCCAGTATGAGTTCGCTGATGTAACATCAGTCCACTATTCACAATGAACCCTTTCCCACATTCACTGCATTTGTAAGGTTTCTCTCCAGTATGAGTTCGCTGATGTACAATCAGTCGGCTCTTCAAGGGGAAGCCTTTCCCACATTCACTGCAGATGTAGGGTTTCTCTCCTGTATGAGTCCGCTGATGTATGATGAGCATGCTCTTCACAGTGAAGCCTTTTCCACATTCATTACATAGATAGGATTTCTCTACTGTATGGTTTCTCTGATGTACAATGAGATTACTCTTCCTGGGAAATCCTTTTCCGCATTCGTTACATACATAGGGTTTCTCTCCAGTATGAGTTCGCTGATGTTCAATCAGACGACTCTTCATGGTAAAGCCTTTCCCACACTCACTGCATATATACGGTTTCTCTCCTGTATGATTTCGCTGATGTATGATGACATAGTGCTTTGTGGTAAAGCCTTTCCCACATTCACTACAGATATAAGGTTTCTCTCCTGTATGAGTTCGCTGATGTATAATAAGCATGCTCTTCACAGTGAAGCCTTTTCCACACTCACTACACACATAGGACTTCTCTCCAGAATGGTTCCGCTGATGTACAATGAGATTACGCTTGCCCGGGAAGCCTTTTCCACATTCACTGCACACATAGGGTTTCTCTCCAGTATGAGTTCGCTGATGTTCAATCAATCGGCTCTTCATAGTAAAGACTTTTCCACATTCACTGCATATACAGGACTTCTCTCTTTTATGAATTCTCTGATGTTCATTGAGCCTGGACTTTCTGGAGAATACTCTGGCACACATATTGCATCCATAGGGTTTCTCTCCTGTATGTACCCTCTCGTGATCAGTGAGCTGAGACTTCTTGAAGAAGGCTTTCCCACATTCACTGCACACATGGGTTTTCTCTATTTCATGGATTCTCTGATGCTTAATGACTTGGGACTTATCACCAATGGGTTTTCTGCTTACAGGTAACTTAACTGCTGAATGGAATTCCTCATACGTCTCTTTCAGAAATGATTTCACATTTCCCTTAAACTTGGTAGAGTTCTTAATGCCATAGTTTTTGTTTTGGTTGACTAAACTTAAATTTGACTTCAAATTCCTTATATATACCTCAGTCCTATTATGATTTTCTTTGAAAGGAAAATGACTTTTGCTTTGAAGTTCATATTTTTTTATAATCTTCAGCATTCTTTGATTTTCTGAGTGACCCTGAAGATGATCAACTTTGTCATTTTCTAGGAAACAAGAGAACAATGAATCCTTCATAACTTCTGTGGAATACATCTTAGAAGAGTACTTGCCTAGCATGAGAGAAGCCCTAGGTTCAATACCCAGCACTGTAAGTTTAAAAAAAAAAATGCATGGAGGAGATACACTGAGGCAGACATAAATTATGACCTGGTTTGGACTAGAAGTGATACCAAATGCAAAACAGTCCTTTCTAGTTATGAGAGTCAACAGAAGCAGACCTTTAAGGTCTACATGTGTAGAAAGAACTTTATAACATGCAAGATGCCACCAGCATGAACAGGATGGTGAGATGGTGCTTTTTTAAATACCTTTATTTTATTTATTTTTATGTGGTGCCGAGGACCAAACCCAGTGCCTCACACGTGCTAGGCAAATGCTCCACCACTGAGCTACAACCCGACTCCAGCAAGATGGGTTTTTTGTGGAAGGAAGATGATTCCTTTCCTCAGAAACTGGAAAGCCACAGGCCAGCTGCCATAGAGGAAAGTAAAACAGGTAGGACTAAAGTATACATTAGGCAATATTAAGCAAGATATCAATTGAAAGTCTCATTTAGAGAACAAAGAAAGCTCAATCATGGTACAAAGACCAAATTTAAAGATTAGAAAAACAGCACATAAAACAGAAAAACTATTGACGAACCCTCAGAATGGGGGGAAAGCAGCTAAGGAATCATCTAAATTCACAAGAAGCTCAAGTTATAGTGAGGACACGATATACATGGTGGGTCTGGATGTTCAGAAGAGGAACTGGTCATTCCCAATGGAACAGGAAAGCAGAAATCGGAAGACAGATGATGATTTCACAGATCTCTATATGGAATGTGGTCTGGAAGGTGGAATTCCAAAAACAGGTAGAGACACTGTGACAGGTATAAAAAGGGGTAAGAGAAAAAAGTAATTTAAAACGGCAGGGTGATAGAAGCCAAGGAAGAACAAAATTAGGCAAAACAAACAAAAAGCAAGATGAAATGGGCAAGTATCAGATCTCCAAAGACAATAAAAGGATATACTTCCCTCTCAAGACCTAAAGAAACATTCTGAGATGGGGAAAGAGATCCATGCAAGCTGTGTTTCTGTATACTCAGATCCCATGTGTCTTTTTCTGACCAATTAGAATAAGATTCTGTGCTGAAACATCTTGCAGTTCTCACCTGGACAGATCCAAGTGTGCATTTCATCTTCTGTCCAAGGTTCTTCCCCTTGTTCCAACTTGGAAAGAGCATCTGGCTTGCTGACTGGATACCCTGTTTGTAAGAAGTGAGAAAAGACTTGGACACAGCTATGGGCTGAGATGTGTCAACATGGGAGAGATTATGTTCAAGGATTAGACAGCTTTCCCAACTGCAAAGCAGAGGCTTTTCTCTCAGGAGATAGCACATTAGACCCTCTTGTCTGGATCCAAGAATCTACCAGGAAAAACCACTACAGAGGCTCTGGCTCATTAAGTAGCTATTAAAGGAAAAACCACAGACTTGCACCCTCTGCGCTACACAGGGCAGCCATCCTCACCCACTGACACCAGATTGCTGTAGTTCTCCAACATCACGTCCCGGTACAGGTCCTTCTGCCCAGGGCCCAGGAGCTGCCACTCCTCCCGAGTGAATGCCACAGCCACATCCTCCAGTGTCAGCAACTCCTGTAATAACAGAACCCTAATTAATCTGAGGGTTGTTATTTACTGATTCACAAAGAATGAAAAGGAAGTTGTGCTGCTCATAATAATGTATATTGGCTGAATATATAAGCCTATTGTACTTTTAATACATAGTCATAGAATCAATCTCCAGATATTCTACAATACTGTGCAGTGAGCTATTCACCCAACTAAGTATTTCAGCATCTATTGACAATCAGAATATTAAATACTGCTGTGGATGTGGCTCACTGGGTAGAGTGTTTGCCTGACCTGCCCCAAACCCTGGGTTCAACCCCAATACTACAAAAAAGAAAGAAAAATTAAAGGCTGGTGACATCCAGACATATACTACAGATTTCTGTATGTGAGTCTTCCTGACTAACACCAGAGTAAAACATGGAAGAGATGCCAGAACTTCAGGACACTCTATAAGTGTTTAATTACAGAATGCAACAACAACAACAAAAAGAAATATACATCAAGTATAAGAATTGTTATAGACTGATCAAATTTGAAAAAAAAATTTTTTAAATATATGTATTAAATACATGTATACATAAGAATGCACCCCCCACACACACACACCCCTATATATCCATATATCTGCTTACAGAAAGGTTAAATTAGACAAACTGAAAAGATAATGAACTAGAATGTGCATTTTAAAAAATAAGTAATCAGCTGGTACAGTTGTACTCACCTATAATTCTAGGAACTTGGAGGCTGAGGCAGAAAGATCTCAAATTGAAGGCCAGCCTCAGCAATTTACCAAGGTCCTAAACAACTTAGCAAGACCCCGTTTCAAAATTAAATTTTTTTTTAACAAAAAAAAGGGCTGGGGATGTGGTTCAGTGGTTAAGGGCCCTTGGGTTTTATCCTTGGTATCAAAATAAATAACCAAAAATGAAGCAGAAAGCCAAGCATGGTGGTGTGCACCTGTCGTCTCAGCTACTTAGGAAGCCAAGGTGGGAGGGCTTTATGAGCCCACAAGTTTAAGGACAGCAGAGACACAAAAGGCAAATTTAATAAATATGGAGAACAGTGAGACATGAACCTACACATAATTCATACTGAAATAGAAAAAATATACAAAGATCTGAAGAGTAAGCAATTTTCAGAACTGATAAAACATGCCACAACCAGAGTTAGTTATATTAACCACAAAGCCAAGCCAGAAATCTGCATTTAGGTACATCAGATAGAAACTACGTAACACTAATGCAAATGTAAAATTATGACACCACTAGAAAAACATTACTACAAAGAAAAGATAACATGTACTGACAGGTGACTTCTCCACAAATAGGGTGCAATCCAGAGAAGTGTACAGTAGCCTCTTCATGTAGCAAAGCAGCCTAGCCCTGACTGCCACTGGAGAAGGAACTGGGACCTGCTTGTCCACTGAACTGCATTCTTCTGTCTCAACATGGCTTGCAATCATAGAGCAGTATGGGAAATTGAGATGGGGAAGCCTAGGGGGTACCAAAGACATTTTATCCCAATGTCATTGCAGAGATTATTACACAGAAAAGAAAGCAGACTTGGTAGAGGCCACAAAAACTTCTTTTAAAGAGATGAAATCTTGCAATGTTGTCCAAGCTGGCCTCAAATGATACTGTCTCTTACCTCGGCCTCCTAAGCAGCTGGGACTACAAGTCACTGTCCCTGGTTTAAGGCTACAATTTTTCCCCCCAATATTGGGAATTGAGCCCAAGGCACTCTACCACTGAACTACATCCCAGCCCTTTTTACTTCTTTATTTTTTTTTTATTTTGAGTTAGGGTCTTCCTAAGTTGCCAATCATCCTACTTCAGCCTCCCAAGTCGCCAGCATTACAGGCGTGTGGCACCACACCCAAGGAGGCTGCAAGTTCTTTATTTTTAAGCTGTAGGTGGACACAATACCTTTATTTTATTTATTTAACTTTCCTCTTTTTTTTAATGTGGTGCTGAGGCTCAAACCCAGTGTCTCACACATGCCAGGAAAGTGCTCTACCACTGAGCAACAACCCCAGTCTCTGGAAGTTCTTAACGCTGCTGTTCTTATCACATTCTGAATTATTTCACATGAAACAAATCCACTTAGAAAATACACAAGCCAAAAATCATATAAACAACCCCAATTAAGCTAAGAAAAAAAGATTTTTAATGTACAAATAAGAACAGGCATTTCACAAAAGAAAAAAGTCCAACTAACCAACAAATATACAAAAGACTTCAACTCTACATGTAACAAGGAAAATGAAAATAAGGAAAATGTAAAACAAGGAAAAAGAATATTAGGACACTCAGAAGATTGAAAATTATGTTTTTTCTTTGCTTCTTTCTTTCCTTTCTTTGTGTATGTGTGTGTGGGGGGGTACTAGGGATTGAACCTACGGTTGCTCTCTACCACTAAACTATCACCAGCCCTTTTTATTTATTTTATTTTGAGATAAGGTCTTATCTAAGTTTCCCAGTCTGGCCTTGAATTTGTGACCTTGTGTGCCACTACACTCTATGAGCTATGAAACTTGGTAACATCATTAAGTATTACTTAAGGCATGAATGACACCACATATCACTTATTGTAGAGTAGGCACTCATCTAAATGCTTTATTTACATTAACTCATATTTTGTAGTCTGAGTATAATCAAATATAATTTTATATGGTGAACATTCTTCATTTGATCTCAGCTGTTATTCCTTTACATCTTTAAATTATATCATTGTAGACCAATAGGTTATGTTCTTTTGAGTGTGATCCCATTGGTGCAAAAAATGTATAAATTTAATACATGTGCTTATGTACGCAAACATGTACATAAATATACATATATCTGTAAACATAAATACATATGTAGACAAAACACATGTTTGGTGACAGTTAAGTAACTACCAAACATTTGCTAAACCAGTATGAGGAACTTAGGAAATTACAATGCAGTTAGGGAATTTTTTTTTTCTTTCAGATGAGGGTGGACTCACTACATCGTCCAGGCTGATATTGAACTCCTGTGCTCAATTGATCATTCCACTTCAGCCTTCTGAGTGACTGGGACTTCACCCCCTTGCCCAGCTGAAGAGAGAATTTACTTTCTGTTAATACATATGTCAGTGTTGAAATTTTGTTCTCTAAAATGTATATGTTATTTAGTTACAAAAAATAAAAGTAGGTAAGAAATTTGGAAGTAGAGGGTTTGAGATGACAAACACTGAAGAACCCAACAACTCAGGCATTTATCAAACAATATTTCTTAAAACTCCCAAATGCTAAATCTGTACTTAAACACCAGTTCAGCTACCTGTTCAGGACAGGTGAACCCTTTCCATTTCCAAGGCCCCTCTTTATTCCTGGATAAACTGAGTCCTCTGAGTGGCCTTACTTTGATGCCTTCATAAATTGTGTCCCCAGTTAGCTTGGTCTATTCCCACAGGAGTCTCTGAGGAACCTTACCATAAACAATAGAAAACATACCCTTGTGTATCTATAAAGAATACTGTTCAGTGTCCACCCATCACCTCTAGAAAGACTGTCAAATTTTTCCTAATACCTGAATGCCATGAAACAGTGACATCAGGGATGATGCTGGGGCTCAGTGGCAGAGTGCTTGGCTAGACTGCATGAGGCACTGGGTTTGATCCCCAGCACCACATTAAAAAAAAAAGAACATACTCTGTCCATCCCCGACTGAAAAACAGAAAAACAAAACCAGTGACATCATCCCCCCAGAACCGGTGTCTGCTCACTCCTGCAATCACAGTTTCTTATAACTCAGCGCCATTCCCCTGTGGTGGTGGCTGTCAGTCAACGCCACCACGACATCCTTTTGATCCACACATGTCATTCCACCAGTCACTCAGTGGAATCATAAGACCATCCGAGTGCCCCGATGCCATGCCGTCGGGGTGTCTCTGGACACATTCTATGACTGAAATCTCACAGGCATTTACAGATCTAGGAGCAGATGTAAGGGCGTCTGGATGAAACAAGAAGAGGTCACCTCAACGCTGCTCATTTTCTTCGGTGGGGTAAGTGGTAACTTCCGCGTGGGCCTGGAGGTCCTGGTGAGCGGTCCCGTCCTAGGAAGGGTGTCGGGTCCGGGATGCCTGCTCCCTTCCGTCCTGCGGCGGGGCCTGC